ACAGAAGACTCTGTCTAATTGCATGTAAACCTCACGTTTTCCTCACTCTATGGGACTTCATGGCCATGAAACCACTTATATGGTCATGAAATCCTTTTATCCCTGGAGCATCTCTCACTAGTTAGAAATCAATACATAACTATCTTTTTTTTTGGGAATCATTGCTTTGATTTTCCTGTCACTACCAGACTGTAAAGAGACACTACTTGGGGGGAAAAAAAAAGTTTCCATGACCAAAGTTATGAAAGTTCTAGGTTTAAACAAAGGTCTTTAATGTAGGGCATTTCTAAGTTGTTAATATGCTAATGTGCAAGGTAAAGCTCTGAGAGGTAGCCTTAGCACTAAGCTTGACTATGCTTCCTCCCATTTTTAAAACTCTACTCCATGAACTTTTTCTATAAACTCGATTATGGCATCCAACTTGTTTGCAACTTTATCCACTGTGCCCTGAATGGAAGCTCATCAATAGTTGTTGAATAAAGTAGTTACTCAATGCGTCTTTCCAGTCAGCTCTTAAAACAGGACATTTCCATTAAGTTTCAGAAATGGGGTCACACCAATAGCATTTTCTTCCAGCAGCAATTATTAACACAATTTGTGTATATGTTCATTGTCTCGATCCAATGGTTCTCCAACGTTAGTATGCGTTAGGAACCATTTGGAGAATTAAAAACACATTCCTGACCTTAGCCTCTTTGACCTTCTGCTGTGGGTTAAGAAATTCACATTTTCAACACCTCAGGCAAAGTTAAGGCAGCTGATCCAGCACTCTGAAAAACACTGTCCTAATAAAAAAGACCTCTAGGGTGTAAGATTTTTGAGCAGAAAGGCCTTTTGGATCTCTCAGTCTGTAGGAAGATAGACACAAGTCCGTTCTATCCTCTCAGAAGACAGAATTAAGAAATACAGGTGAAAGTCATGAGAAGGTAGGCTGTAGTTCAACATCAAGAGTCTCCCAACAACGGTGAGGGCTTCCTGGAGGTCATCCCATTCTCCTCACTGCGGTAGCCAAGGAGAGGCTGGATAAGGTAGAAGGGATGGCAGATGGTGATTAGATTAATTGTGACGCCAAGATTCTGCAACAAAGGCTGCAAACCCAGATACCTTCCCATAGTGCAAGGCAGTCAGATGTAGGGGCAGTGGTGAGCTGGAGGGCACGTGCTCCTGTGTAAAGGCATTCAAAAATTTTAAAAATAATCCTGCCTGGACATCACGGTGGGCAGGACTCACTCAGGGAAGTTTGCATCTTCTGTTTTTTCCATTATCCTAAGTAAATAACTACCTGCTCAAGTCCTGAATAAACTGAGCCCTGTCAGTTGTGCGGAAGGGAGTGTATTTTAAGAAAATATTTTAAGCACAGTTTAATTCTGAATTATTGAGGAAAATTCTCTGCAGGAGAAATCCTCACTGGATACGTACATATACAGGTAGGCATGCACGTACCTACGCATATATTTTACTATTATAGTCCTCCCATGCTTTCTCATTCTCTCCTGGGGCTTCCTTGGCAATCAGGATCATAGTTAGTTTTCGCCTTGGTACTCTATTATTGAATGGTGACCTACTGTCCTTTTACACACTGCATGCTTTCCAGGAGGCTGCTGCATTATAGAATGCCCTAAAGGCATTCTGATGCCAGCCATCCACCTCCACCGTTGCAGAAAACCTGATGTAGAGACTTCAAGTGGAAGAGGCTCTACCTATCAGTCTCTTTCACCTCCTGTCAGCTTCCGTATCAAGGCAAGAAGAGTTGCTTGTCTCCTCTGAGTCGTCTCTCCACAAAGCATTTAGAGGTCTGTCCCTCTCCTGAACTCTTAAAATCATTCACTGTTCTGAATCTGTCACAGTAGTTATTAATTAACTTTAGCAAAGGTATGAACCCTTTGTTTGGCCAAAGAAGCAAGGTGATTTCAATGTGTTCCAGGTGGCTAGAAGGATGGAGAAATGTTCCTCCCACCATGATTATTGCTCTCCACCACCATCTCTCAATGTTCCTCGTGAAGTGTCCCCTGCCTGAGCTCACATGATTTCACAGTGTTCACTACTGCTATTTGCTAGTGTTTCACAAGCAAATCAATGCATTGTTGGAGATTCAGAGCCATAATAAGAGAGATACTAAGCCAGCAAAGCAGTGTTTTTGCTCAGAACTCTTTTTTTTTCTATTTACAGAGAAAAGGAAAAAACACCACGGTGTAGGCTGGAAACATTTATACTATCTGTCCATACGATATGGATAGATCACAAAAGAGAATATACAAATGGCCGATCCACATAAGAATTAGAACTCAACTTCAGCAACCATTAAGACAACACAAACTAAACCCATATAACATGGTACCACGCCACACGCATCGATTCAGTAGCTAAAATGGAAAACACAGACAATAGTAAGTGTTGGTGAGGATGTGGAGTGACTGGAACTCCCATACACTCTGATGGCAGTGCAATTAGTACAACCAGGACCAACAACTCAAAACAATGTGTCCATCTGCTCACGAAGAGGCATATATAAGAATGCTCAGCAGTACTCCACGACAGCCCACAGCAGGGACAACTTAAATGCCCATCAACAATTAAATGGAAACATTGTGAAATAGTCGTAGGAAGGAATACTGTATAATTTTACTTATGTAAAATAAGTAAAAAGGGCAAAGTTAAGCTAAATTAGAAGTTAGGATAGTGATTACCTCTGGAGGCAAGTGACTGGGGAGGGGACACAGCTGGGCCTTTTGGGGCACTGGTAATGTTTCATCTTGGTGGTGGTTACATACGGGTGTAAACATTGTGTAAATTCATTAGGCTGTACTCTATGTTTTTGTATTTTTCTGTATATACTTTTGCACTTTTCTGTATACATTATACTTCAACACAAGGTTACATAGAGTATTCAGAGCGGCATCAGTTTCTCAGTTGTGTTTCTATTCTCTTGCATGCTTTTTTCTTTCTTTTTTTTTTTTTTAAATTGAGTGTGGGTGTATGTGCTTATGTTTCACAGTTGTTTGGCAGGGTCATGGAGAGGTGGGTAATGCAACGAGGACAAGCGTGATTCTCACTCTACCCCATAGCAAGTGGATCTGGCCAGGGTCAACAAATTAGAGTCAGATGCCTAGAGTGGCACTGGCCTGAGAAATCATTTTACGTGATTCAGGAGAGGAAATTGAGACCTAGAGAAGTAAAGTTATTTAACTAAGTACGTGCAGCTGGTTTGTTGAGCAGTGGAGACAGAATTCGAATTTCATGATTCCAATTCACCTCAGCCTCCGACACAGGCAGACGTAGTCGTCAATTCTTTCACATCCATCCCAATTTTTACACCACAATGGAAAATTTTTAATTTCCTATGTGTTTAGTGATCATTTGCTCCCTGCAAATTTCCTCCTTAGAGAAATAACCAGATATCTATTAATAGGAGACAACTAATCAGATTTCCTATCATTCACAGAGATTGGAATTCCAAGAGAGCTAAGTACGAGGTGGCTAACTACGTTTTGCTGGAACTAGAATAGCTATAGGGCAATGATTCTCTGCCAGGAACTGCTAGGGCATTTTCCTTGTATGAAGTCATTTAATCCCCACAGCCCTGTGATGTAAACCCTCTTGTTATTCCATTTTAGAGATGAAGACACTAAGACACATAGAGGTTATTACTTTGCCCAAGGTCCTACCAGTGAGTGCTGGTGTCCTGGACAGTCTACTCTTAACCACTATGCTATGTGGAATGGGATAGTTTAAGCTGCTATGGTGAGATGCCTAACCTCCTGAAAATGTTAGGATACTGGAACAGATAGGAGAGGGGGAAATATGGAGAATGCTCAGAAATGAGAAGACTCATCATCACATTCAAGCCAAACAAGAAATCCCAGGATTCGCGTGTGTGCGCGCGCACGCGCGCAATCATGTTAGAATATATAGGTCATTAGTAAGTCTTATTGATCATTTAAATAGATCAAGCTTAGTTAGAAATTGTTAAATCCTCACTTTGCTCTGTGCTTCAAAGAGTATACCAAAGAGTATCAAAACTCTGCGATGAGAGGTGTTTGCTAAAGTTCAGGCCACGATGTGAAAAAAGAAGTTAAATAATAAAGTTTTGACTAGCGAAGGACATGGGGGTTTTCATTCACCAGCACCTACTTCAACCCCTCTTGCTCTGTGTCCTGCTGTGCTGTGTGCATTACTAACTACATCCTCAAACGGGCTTTCTCACACTTTCTTCTTCCAGCCATTCCAGAGCATGACCACGATGCGTCTCAACAGACACAGACTCTGATGTCAGTTCAAGACACTTCTCAGTTGCAATGTGAACCCAGAACCCATTTAGTGCCTCACAGATTTGATTGAATCCTGAAACAAGTATCCTTTACTCCAATATCCTTGGCCTAGAGCTCAACTGCTGAGGATTACACAGAGAGGAAATAACACTTGTCCCAGATACTTTAAGTGCTCTGCATCCCTGGATGCCACATTCAATCCTGCCAGCCCTCAAGCACCCCATACCACATTCTAAAAGGATGTCTTATGTGAGCAGGACACGAAAAGATTAGTTAAAAGAAAACAAAAGGCCTCCCTTCTACAGTGAAGGTTGGGCTTCACGGGGCTGCTGAACACAACTTTGCATTGAAATACAGTTTTCCCATTTCAAAGCACTGTAGAGGCATGCGGCTTGTTAGATTTATATAATGCCTGGGTCTCCCAAGACTTTACAAAGCGAATGGCATCCATCAAATTAATTTCCTTGGGGATCGTCTCAAACATGGAGAATAAAGAGGCCCAGACCATTAAACATCAAAAGAATGTTCTAAATGGTAATTAAAGTTCTATTATATTTTCTTTTTCTGGGAGCAGATTAGATTAATTCAATTGAGAATATTATAAGTATCAAAGCTGACAGTGTGAATGTGTCGAGTTGGCTGGGAGAACACTTAATATTGCAGACATCTGTTCATTCAAGTTACACAAAACACACGAAAAGTGGGAGTCGACCCAGAGGGTGGGGTACTTACCAAGCCAGCACAGGTAGACACAGCGACGGAGGAGGAGCTGTCATTTCTGATAAATCCCTGATAGAAACATCGCTGCACTGTGGGTTCCCGAGTCTCTGAAGCACCATCTTTTCCAAGTACCTGGACAATAAAGTGACTGCTCAAAATCGCCGAGGGCTTAAGTTCTAAATGTAGCTCCTGTCCAAATGCTGAAAATCGGTAATGCAGGGAGCTGCTGGCACTCTGCGCCGATCGCTTTTTCCTGCCGTTGTGCAAAATGTCATGTGAAATATATGACCCGCCCGAGTCCACTTCTACCGGCGTGACAAAGACGTAATCTGCAACGGGAAAGGTTTAGCTGTCAGCACCCAGAACTCACAGTGCCGAAGGGTCACTTTTCCAATGGGCTGGCAAAGCGCAGCGTACAGCTCGCAGGTGTCTTTGTTCCTATCGCCACGCACCTAGATTAACAGCAATTCAGAGCAGCTCATGAAGGGAACGCTGTGGCCTTTGCAATGCGCGCCGTGACAGTAATTCCTACAAAAACTAAAAGTCAAGCACAATCTTCATGAATCTCAAGAATGTTTGTGGAAAATGCCACAACTTTCTCTCATGGTCTGGAGGGAGACAGATGGACTTAGTATGTGAGTCAGAGCCATCCATACATAAAAAGTGATTTTTGGAGACAAAATATCTGCAAAACCACAAGAGTAGAGAAAAGAACAGTTTTTTTTTTCTCGAGGAGATTAATATCTTCGTGCTTCAACTGAATTGGGAGCATTTGGGGAGGCCGAGTTTAAATTTCAAATGATAACACAATGCTGAGTAACTTGAGATGACATCCCAGATAAGGAGCAAGTACCAGCGGTTTCATATTTCCGATATTAAGTATATATGATAATAAAACCCCAGCACTCGTAGCGCTCTGAACATTTTACTGAGCTTTCACAGGGACAATCCCCTTTCATTGTAAACATAAAATATAGTGGATGCATAAAAATGTCTCAAAATTGTCAGAACTTTCCTATAGAGTCTGATGTTTAAAATTGCTCAGACATGTTGGTGGGGGAGTGTCAGTCAGGGGACACCTGGAAAGGCATGTTTAAAAATACTTTCCCCACTGCTCTCTAGAGCAGCACTAATTGCTGCTTGTTCTCAAGAGGAGGAGCTTAAACACACACACACACACACACACACACACACACACAACTATTTGCTGCTGGAAAATTGAGAAGCCGGCACACTGTTTTCTATCACAAAATGTTGAAACTGAAAAGTATCATCAAAAAATGATCTGGAGTATGCCTTCCGCGTGTTCAAACACACTCTGCGTTTCCACTTTCTAGGCACAGAATGGGAAACTAATTTGGAAAGTGTTTAGAAAGATTCCGAATAACTAAGAGGCATGTTTGAGTCACTTGGGTCCTTGGTTACTGGAGGAGGAAAAGAAAGAGGAATTTCCCTTTTTCCCAAAATAGTCAACAACCAAATAAGAAAAGCCCAGGAATGAACAGAAGCCCTGTAGCTCACAGGGATCAATGAGTGAGATTCTAATTGAGCCTACGTTTGAGGAAAAAAAATATATCCCATCAGGATCATAATTTTCAACTGCTTTCTTCAGTATGAACCATCTGTGACTCTTACTGCTTGAGCAACTTCCATTCTCACAATGTACTTTATGTCTCGCTTCTCCCATTTTCTGACTCCTTTAACTAGAAATACTATCTAACTGACACACATGGTAAAAAAAAAAAAAAAACAACTGGAAAACTTCTCCTCTCTTAACCTTAAAAAAAAAAAATGAGCAGGCCACACACTATTTCTCTTTTAAAAATCTGCTGCTTTACAGGTATGCGACTCTTGGTTAAATGCAACTCTTTCTCAGCCAAAAACCACCTCCTTCCTCCCCATACAAAAACCTAAGTGGGAAAACCCTGCCTGCACGTGCTCCAGTCTCGGCAAGATGATGTTCCGTATACCTCCTAGTCCAAACCCACCTGAAGCTCTGCCTGCTTCTACTTAGGAGGCCATGGGATAGCCTTATCCAGCCGGCCTTCCAGGCAATCAGCCCACAAAGCCCCCATGCAGTGAGCTCCGTGACAGTAATTCCTACAAAAACTAAGTCAAGCCCCAGAAACAGCTACTGGTTTGTTTCCAAGCAGAGAATGAGCAGGTGGATGGTAATATTCCAGTCCTCACCAGAAAAGGAGGCAGTCAGAGCCGCCGGTAGAGAGTGATCTAACCAGTCAGCTCAGGGGCTCACCGAGGATGAGATCCTTACAGGTGGCGGCTGCAACAGAGGGAACTATATGCGTGCGGAACAATGGGGGGTTGTTTTAAAAACTGCAGCCAGCCTCCCTGATTGGAGAAAAAGTGAATTTCTCAAGAGTTAATTCCTAGCTCTCTCCTGTCCCCTCGCTCACCCACATCTTCCCAGTCCTTCCTCCATGACCCTGCCATTGCCCAACACCCCGCCCCCAACCGCCCCAATAGGAGATAACCCTGCAAGGCTTAAACATTCTAGAATCTGAGTTGGATGTCAAGGTCTTGCTAGACGCCTGGATCAGCTGTTCTCCTGAAGCTGGTGGGACAATGGCAACAAGGATTTTCCATTGGGCGCCCCAAGAAGTTAGTATGTGATAGAGGTGCAGGGTGTTCTGGAGATTTGCAGTTGGGAACCTCAGAAGATCTCAAGCTACCTGCTTTCTTCTAGTACAGTTTCGGGGAATCCCTGACACAAGGGCAGGGGAAAAGGGAAGGAAGATGAGGAGCACAAGCGGACGGGAGAGTGAGAAGGAAAGATGGGGGAGGGGGAGGGCGCACCAAGAATTAGTTTCCCGGAAGAGGAAAGGAACCAGGGAGGTGCCGTTTGATATCAACCACCTCGTCCACTTCCTAATTTCTCACCGCAGTGAGGATTTTTTCTTTAAAAAAAAACCAAGCCATCTGTGAACGAAGGCAAGTGCTGTTTTCTCATTTATGGGACTTACAGCTTGAGGCATTGCTTCTTTTGATAAGTTCAGAGAGTCCTTGCCACATCCCCAGCAGCCACCCGCCGACAGGAGCTCTTTCCGGGACGCGCGCACACCTGCCCGGTTGGGGTGGGGGGTGGAGGTGGAGGTGGAGGGAGCGCGCCCCCTTACTTTTCTGTCTCTGGGGCGGGGGGGGGGCGAGAAGGGGCGAGTGCCCGGAAAGGCCCTCCTGGGGTGGGGAGCAGATACGCACCGACGTTCCGTCCGCCGCCGCCGCCGCCGCCGCCGCTGCTGTCACCGGCTAGGGCTGCGGCGACCGACGCACAGCAGAGGCAGCACAGCTGGAGCGCCTGCAAGACAAGAGGGGGCCCCGCGCGTGAGCGGCGCCCGGGGCCGGCGCCGGGCGCCCCCCGCCCCACCCCGCGGCGCGCCCCCGGCGGGCACCTGCCTTGGCCACGCGCCGCAGCCCCGCGGGACCCCCCGGCCGGCCGGCGCGGGCGGCGGGGAGCGCGCACGCGAGCAGGAGGGCGCACTCCATGGTCAGGTGCGGGCGCGGCGGCTGCGGGCGGCCGGACGCGGCGGGCGGAGCGCACGGGCGGCGCGCATTCTCCCCGCCGGCCCGGCGCGCGGCGCTCCAGGTGCGGCGCCAGGTGGGAGCCGCCGCCGCTCGCCTCCCCGCGGCCGCCCGCGCGCCCTCCCCGCCGCCGGCGCCCGCCCTCCCGGGCCACGCGGGCTCCCGCGCTCCGAGCGCAGACGACCGGGGGCTGTGTCCGCGCCCGCCGCCCGCCGCCCGCCCGTGCGTCTGTCGGTCCGCGTGAGCGTCTGAGGCTCCCGGGGAGAGCAGCGCCAGCTGGCTCCCCCAGCGCGCCGCGCCGAGCCGAGCGCCCGCCTCTCCACCGCACGGTGATTGGCGACCAGCGGCTCCCGGGCCCGTCCGAGCCCCCGGGCTGGTGCAAGGGCGTGGGATCCCCGCTGCCGCTCGACGGGGGGAGGCGGGGGGCGGGGGGCGGGGGAGGGCGGGGAGCGCCCCGGGTCGGGCTCGGAACACGTAATCCCCGCGCACGGCGGGCAGGGCGGCGGCGGCGGCGGCGGCGGGGGCGGGCGCGGGCGCAGGTACGCGGCGCGGCTGCCCTCGCCGCCGCACACCGCCCCGGGCCGGGCCTGGCCGGGGTGCCCAGCCTTGGGGCGCGACCCCCTCCCCGCTTTAGCTCCTTTACCTCAGGCCCTGTCATGGCAAGGCGAGGGGACAATCAACCCCTCGACAAAGACTAGGACAGTGGGCTCGGCCGGGCTGCGGAGAGCCCAGCGACACCCCAGGAACCCAGTAGCACCCACCCACCCCCCCGCCCCCGGCAGCTGCAGGGCTGGACCGCCAGCCGCGTGGCTGCCTGCAGGGCAAGGCGCGCTGGTGGCGGTGGCCTCGCGGCTGCCGGGCTCTCCCCTCCCTGGGACCACGCCTCCACCTTCTCAAGACGAGTCCTGGCCCCGAACACCGCAACTCACAGCTCAGCCGCAGCAGCAAACAGCGCTGCCGTCACCGTGGACAGTGGGCGTGCGTCTCACCTGCCGCGCGTGCCTCTTCATGGACTCAATACATTTAACTCGATCTTTGCATCCCTGCTGTTGGCGGGGGTGAACGAAAATACAGTCTCCAAGGCCAGGGGGGAAGACTCTCATCGGATAACTCAGCGCTAGAACCCAAATAATCCCAAGTACCACAAGGGAACAGAAGCGGCTCCTAACTTAGAGTACAGCTGCATCGACTTTAGCTGCGGCGGGGATGAGTGTGTATGTAAGGTGTCTCTTCAGAGCTGACATTTCACATAAGACCAAAGAGGGTGTGCTGGTGGTACAAGGGAAGGCGGGCGGCCACCTAAGTGAAGGTCTTCCTGCACAAAAAGTGCTGGCCCTGGAGGGTGAGTTACCGGCCAGAGGGAGAGGCAGAAAGCACATGGCCAAGCCAATAGGACTCTAGGCCAGAGGAAGCTGGGAGAGAGTGTGTGCGTGTGCGTGGAGGACAGCACTATCTCTAGTACAAAGTCTCAGATCATGTGTGGATAGGGACGGGTGGTGCTGAGGTCGGGCCAGAGGAGAGCAAGTAAGCAAATGTGCTAGAATCGGGGTGAATAATGACGGCATCCTGGACCAGGATGGTAGCAGGAGAGGGGACCGTGTACCCTGCGCCAGCCCTAAGAGTACCGACATGGTTGAGATGAGGTCCTCGTCATAGCTTAGTCTGGGTGACAGCTCAGGACGCATCATCGGTTTCTCTGGATGTAGCAGTGACAGGGTAACGTCCAGGCTGCCCAAGTGGAGCACTCCTGCGAGGGGAAAGGCCACACAGTGAGGAAATCCAGGTTGAACAAACCAGGGGGGGGGGGGGCTTCCCAACATAATCTCTTTCAGCTCCAGTGGCCTCCACTTTATAATCTGTGAAACAGGAATAAACACGATGCATCAGAAGGATGGCTCAAGGATTGGCTGTATTTTTCTGAACACTTTATATGGGGGCTTTAGAAGTGAGAACAGAGGATACACTGTATTTCTGGTACTTCATACATCCGATGTCAAATTGTAAGGTGCATCAAAGTCACCTTTGATGGTGGAGCTGGCTTACTATGTAGATTCCTGGACCGTGCACCAAGGACATTCTGATTCAGTAGATTTTGGTGCAGGGCCCAGATATGCATCTGTAGCAAGCCCCTGTGGGTGCTTCTAATACAGGTGACTTCGCTGCTTTATGTGATCTCAGTAAAGAACTGGACACCAAAGGAGTGAACGCCTTGAACCTGATGTGAGTGGCTTATTGCCCTCCCCTGTTTTTCCAGCTGTTCTCCCACACTCTACTAAACCTTTGCACTTCGTAGATTCCCCACCCTCCGATGGTGTGGTACAGAAACCAAAATCCATTTATCACCTACTCATAGCTGGAGAGATCGTAACTTCCAATTCCATCCATTTGCAGATGACTAGGGCCACTTTCTTCTGTAGGGTCAGTATATGAACACTGTAAAGCCATCCCCCAACTTCCGAGATGATTGTATGTATTCAATATTCTCAGAACTAGCCCTGCAATATGTATAAATTGCCTCTAGATGGTGACAGAGAGTCAGGAGCTCATGGTCCAGCCCTTCCAAAGCCGCATTCATCTCTAAGTTATTTGGAAATACAAATTTTAGCTGATTTTAAAACTATGAATATAAGGCACTATAATGAATATTGAACGTTCATAGTCATCTGTCTCAGTCTGCTTGGGTTGCTATTAGAGAACACTATAGCAGTGGTGATGTAAACAGCAAACATTGGGGCACCTGAGTGGATCAGTCAGTTAGGCATCTGCCTTCAGCTCAAGTCATGCTCTCAGGGTCCTGGGATTGAACCTTGCAGGGTTGGGCTCCCTGCTCAGCATGGAGTCTGCTTCTCCCTCTTCCTCTGCACCCCCACCCCACTTGTGCTCTCTCTGGAGCTTTCTCTCAAATAAACAAATAAATACATTTTTAAAAAATAAAATGAACCACACACATTTATTTCTCACAGTTCTGGAGGCTGGGAAGTCTGAGATCAAGGTGCTGGAAGATTTGATGTCTGGGAGAGGCTGCTTCCTGGTTCACAGAGTGTCTTCTTTTTGCTGTGTCCTCACATGATGGAAACAGCGGGGGAACTCTCTTCCATCTCTTTTGTAAGGGCACTGACTCAATCATCATGGCCTAATCACCTCTCAAAGGTTCCTTCTCCAGATACCATCCGGGGGCATGAGCGCAAATATTCAGTTCATCACATAAACCTAAGGGGGAAAAGAAAAAAAATCGGTGGTGGTGTATTCTGTGGAAGATAGCCCAGAGACTGGCACACAGCAGACATTCAGAAAATATTTGCAAGAAGGAAAAGAGAGAGAGAGGAAGGAAATGGTGAGAAAGTTTGAGATGGAGGGATCACAGGGTTTCGCCGTTAAGTATTTAAAGACTTTCCCCCCCTTTTTTCCCCTTTTTTAATATCAATGATATGATTGTAGGCATTGGTTTTTCTTCTTTCTTCATGGACATAAGTTTAACCTTTTTTCAAAAGAATACACCATGCACCTTTTCTTGTGGCCAGAGTAAGAAAAAAATGGCAATCCCTGTAATTTATCCAATTTTCCCTTGGTCTCTGCTTCAGGAGGATGCAAGTGTCTCTTTCATGGACAGTAAGGACATTTACCCCTTCTCCCACCACTGCTGACTCCTCTGTCTCAGCCAACTCCTTTGTTTCTCCTCCCCTTTCCATGGAGAGAGCAGAGGGACACTGTCCTCTGGCATTTTAAAGCTGCACTGAATAGTTCCTCTGGTTTTACTGAATAGCTTCCTGTAGAAAGTATTCTCATGTCCAAAGAGAAGGAGATCTGGGGCACCTGGATGGTTCAGTCAGTTAAGCATCTGACTCTTGATTTTGGCTCAGGTCATAATCTCAGGGTCATAAGATCAAGCCCTACATGGAACTCCACACTGGCTGTGGAGTCTGCTAAGATTCTTTCTCTTCCTCTCTAAAAAAAAAAGAAAAGAAAAAAGAAAAAGAAAGAAGAAGAAGAGAAAAAAGAATGGCAGGTACAAATTTTTTCCATTTTCTTTAGAGATAACCATCCAGAAAGCCAAGGTGTGTGCCACACAAAGAATAAAATTCAAGCAAGTGACATGCAGCACGTTTTGTTTTTCATCTGTCAGTGACAATATAGGAAGCAGAACCTCTTAGGCTAACAACTAGCTTTGGAAATAGTTTGTCATCAAGCACCATTTAGGAGTTGTCAACCGTTCTCCCCTCTAGCATTACATTTCAGTCTTTCATTGCCCCTCTTAGGACATGGACCTTGATTTCTTTGCTTTACAACCTGTACGTGTCCTAACTGACCTGTGCGATGAGGCTCCTCCACTCCACTTGCCTCTACTGATCCCGCACTGGCTACGCATGCTGCTCCCCTGTTCTATCTTTAGTGCTTTCCCAAGACCTGCTATTAAAAGTAGTTTGTTTGCCCGAGGCTCAGGAGGCTGTATTGGAACTAGCCTACTCATTTCCACAAAGGGACTCGGGCCAAGTTCTGAGCTCCCTGCACAGTGGAAGAGTGGAATAGAGACTTTGTAAAAGCTTTGGGAAAAATCAGGCTAAAAAAGGGAAATGACTCTTGTCTGTGTGACCTGTCTTCATTCCCCAACACCAGGATCTCAGCACGTGCAGGCTCGGACGTCTGTCCCAGTGATTCCCAAGAGCACCCTTCTAAGACCAGCGAGTCCTCCCTCCAGATGGGATGGCCGGGATTGGAAGATACTACCAACCACAGTCTCCTGGGGCATTGTCAGAACCACTCTTGGGCATCCCTATCAGTATTCCAGTGGGTCTGGGATGAGGTTCAGACATTTTTTAATCAACACCTGGTTATTTCTGATGTAACTAAATGTATCACAAACAGGTAGTCATGGCCCACTGTGCTTACGCCTTCACTTAAACACCAGCATTACTTCCGAGTCAACAGGGTTTAGAGCTGCTGGGATGCCTTTGAGCCACTACTTACCTGGGGAGGAATCAGAGTATAATAGAAATAATAAAGGGCAGGCATGGGATTGGATCCTTGCTGTAGTGATGAGTGGAA